CAAGATCTACAATGCTTATCGGGATCGCAGCATGGTAGGAATCTACAATTTCATGACGCCGATGTTGATGGTCCGCGAGCCAGAACTAGTGAAGACAGTGCTGCAGACGAGTTTTACGAACTTCCACGAGAACGGCTTCAAAATCGATCCGAAATTGGATCCTCTTTTGGCGAACAATCCATTCTTCACATACGGTGAAAAATGGATGACCGGGAGAAAGCGCTTGACCTATGCGTTCTCCAGCATGCGACTGAAAATCCTGCTCGAGACCGTCAAGCAGGTGTGCCAGACATTCGAAGGCTATCTGGACAAAAAAATCGATAAAGCTGGAAAAGTGGAGTTAGAGCTAAAGGAATTGTTCTCCAGATTCACCTCGCAGGTGGTATCTAGTGCTGGCTTTGGCGTAGATGGCTTAAGCTTCAACGAAGAGAAAGAGAAAGATTCTTTCTACGCATTGGGCAAGTCCTTCCTCGATTCGACCGTTTTGAACAACATTATCTTCATCATTGTTTTTTTTATACCGGCGTTGGGCAGAATTTTCAAGACGAGGTTTTTACCGAAAAAGGCTGATCATTTCTTTAGAACGATCATTGCAGACATTATGGAACAAAGAAGGAAGGAGACAACACCCAGAAACGATTTTCTCCAGTTGATGACTGATCTGGAACGAACGGAAGGAGATAAGTTTGACTTAGAAATTCTCACGTCCCACGCGGTGTCGTTCTTCGTCGACGGTTATGAAACTTCCAGCGCAGTCTTAAGTTTTATAGGTTTCAACTTGGCCAATAACCCAAAAGTGCAAGAAAAGTTACGCGAGGAGGTGATGTCTGTGCTGAATAAATACGATGGTGTCATTACTTATGAAGCCTTGAAGGATATGACATACATGGATCAGGTAATAAATGAATCGATGAGATTCGTACCTATTCTGGGAATCCTAAGCAAGGTTTGTACAGATGAGACTGAGTTGAGAGGGTCCGATGGGCTCGTCTATCGCGTAGAACGTGGAATGCACATCATAATACCAGTTAGCGGCCTACAGGAAGACCCACGATACTGGGAAAATCCCAAAGAGTTTGATCCCGATAGGTTTGGCCCAGACAGAAAGCACAACATCGAGAAATTCACCTTTCTTCCTTTCGGCGAAGGACCGCGAATGTGCGTAGGAATGAGAATGGCTCAACTGCAGATAAAAGCGTGTCTGGCTACGTTCTTGAGAAAATACAGCATAGAGCTTTCTCCAAAGACACAGTTACCTTTAAAAATGGTATCTTCGATCTTCCTGGCCAATGCAGAAGGCGGTCTTTGGAGCATAATCCGGCCGATTTAACTACGAGATTTTTGTTTACCTTTTTTCTTGATAAATTTTTTGGGTTGTTATTCGGTCGCGATTTAATTACGAGATTTTCTAATTCTTTTTTTTAGTAAATCTGTTTTTTCTTTGATTTACTTTTTTCTACAGTACGGATTTTGTAATATATTTGTTTTCGTGAGATTACTTTCCTGATGTAAATGTAAATGTAAATCCAAATGGTATTATCTTTAATTTTTAGGCAATGAAATCTAAGTATACGTATGTATATCTTATTGAAGGATCTTCCTATTCCAATCCAAATGATTTAAATTTCTCTTAAATGAAATTATTATATCACAATTCATTCACACATACAAAGACATTTCCTCTTCCAACTAAAGTAGGTTATTTAATTCTCTTTCAAAATATTATACAAAATATTATCACAAATTTAAATAAAAAAATTTTTTGTGTAAAAACACTTGGCGCTACTAGATCTCGATATAATAATAGTAGCAAAATACGAATGTAATATTTAGAAAAATAAGAGAAATAAAAGAATATAATACTTAGAAAATGTAATATTTAGAAAAGTAACATAAATAAGAAGTATATTAATAAGAAAAATTAGAAAAATTAGTATTAAAAAATATGAATGTTTAGAGAAATAAGAAAAATAAGAAGCATGAGAGTTAAAGTATGTGTATGTAGTATGTGTATACATATATGCGATTGAATTATAGAGTCATGCTTTTTTTACCTTTTTTTAAAAAGGTAAATTTGTATAAATAACATATAATATACTCAGTAAGTCGGTTGCCTATATGCCTATATAATTTATCGATAATAAACTCATGTTTACCTATCAATCCTTCCCGGACCCATTCCTTAAAACGTAAAATTTAACTGATCGTACAAATTACGATGTCATCTATGCTCGGTTTCAGGAGTAAACTTGGTAAGATCGTAACAAAAGCTTTGAAATATTTTTTCTCTGTCAAACGAAACAAATAATAATTAGCGACTGTCTACTAAGTTAATTATATGCTACCTCACATATTCCTATATATATATATAAATGAGCGCTCTACAAAAATTAAATTATCCACCATTTACAGTTTTTACTTTTTATTTAAAACAATTACCTGTACAACTCATTTAAATTCCTGTTCAACATAATGTCACCAAAAATACAAATGCGATTGCAATTCTTTCTTAGGCAAACGCGAAGATGCTTCAATAATCAGTCTTAAAGTATGATTCAAATTAATACAGTTGCTATACCAAACTGGTCCAGCTTTCCAAAATAAAGTTTTTAGTGGTTTAGTCAGTTGAGGTAAAGTCGATGAGTCGCACCAATTTTCAATAATATCTGAAAACGAATTTCGTAAAAAAGGTCTCGTACATAATAATAATTAGATAACAATATTACTTATGTTTGTTACATACTTCAGATATACTTCAGAATGGATATGCAATAGCTCCTGACAGACTTGGGAAATTGTTCGTTGCAGTTAAACAGAGATGTAAGCCATACATGAATTTGACAAAGTCCCAAATTTTGTTCCGAACATTCTTCCGTAAATTCCATAGCGGCGACGACGACGACGTCATTGACAATGACGTTTCTTAATATATAAAAGTTTCAGATTCATATTTTGCTTCACAATATCTCCGCTCGTAGAGCACGTAGAGAAAAAATAAAAACACTTTCATTATATATCCCGAGCGGTTGCAATCTCTTGAGCACACTTAGAACTTGATCGGTACAGTCCTTATTGAGATCCGATAATCTCGATCTGCCGCAACTCGCCGGCTCGCGTAAAGTAGCCACGGCAGTGGCGCTGCGCGTAACTTAGCGCCGAGACACTACCAGTGTCTCCAGAT